AAAAAAAAAAAAATAGTAAACAAACAAAAAAAACCACCCTCTGTCAGACCAATAACAGACTTAAAAATAAATAAGGGACCTATTTATTTATTTAATTCAATTTATTTATTTATTTTTTTTTTAAAGATGGGGTTTCAACATGATGGATGGCCAGGCTGGTCTTGAGCTCCTGACCTCACGTGATCCACCCACCTCAGCCTCCCAAAAGTGCTAGGATTACAGGCGTGAGCCACCGCACCCGGCTGGGACCTATTTAGAAAGAAGATAGATAAAGAGACAGGACCCCAAACAGCACACAGGCCTTGCTCAGACCCTCATCCATACAAACACCCACAAGACAACACTCAGGACGGGTACGGACACCTGCATACGGCAGAATGGCCGCAGCCACTCTGGGTTCAGCACATTGGTTTTTCTACCTTAATGTATGCCTGCAGGTTTTCAAAACACAAAGTAAATCATCAGTGTGATTAAAGCAGAGCTCCGGGGCCCCTGCCGCACCTGCACCCCTGGGCCTGGGGCCCCTGCTGCCCTACCTTGCCTTCCTCTCCAGCTCCTCCTCCAGGGACTTCAGCCTCCTCTCCCTGTCTCGGAGCTCACGGGCGTAGCTGAAGTCGTCATCCAGCTCCTCCTGCCTGGCCGCCTGGCGTCGCTGTAAAACACACAGCCTGGGCTGTGAAATCAGGACTTAGGCCTGACCCAGCACGGGCAGGTCCCACCCACCTCCTGGTCCTTCACAAACTGTTCCTTCAGCCTCTGAAACTGCTCGCGCTTCTGGGCATCCAAGGCCATCCGCTCTGACATCTGCCGGTCTGCATTGGGAAAGTAAGGGGCACACTGTCACAAAGAGGCCCCAGCAAGGCACCCCCAGAACTGCAGAAGGGAGGACTTGGGGCCACTCACCACTCAGTGCACTCAGGACCCTGGAGGCTGCTTCCCGGGCATGAGCAATTAATTCCTGCTTTGCAATTTCCATACGTAATTCCTAAACAAGACAATGGTAAACAAAGTACACTGGCCAGGCGCAGCAGCTCACGCCTGTAATTCCAGCACTTTGGGAGGCTGAAGTGGGTGGATCACATGAGCTCAGGAGTTCCAGGCCAGTCTGGACAACATGGCAAAACCCCATCTCTACAAAGATACAAAAATTAGCCAGGTGTGGTGGCGGACGCCTATAGTATCAACTACTTGGGGGCTGGGCTGAGGCAGGAGGATCCCCTGAGCCTGGGAGGTGGAGGCTGCAGGGAGCCACGTTGGTGCCACTGTACTCCAGCCTCCTGGCCGACACAGTGGGACCCTGTCACAAAGGGAAAAAAAGCAACCTAGTCCTCTGACCTCTCACCTAGGACACGTGTGGGATCAGGGCCGGCAGGCAAGACACACAGCCCGAGGGTGAGAGGAGGCGCCAAGTGACGGCGGGACACCCTCCCCACCCCGGCTCTCAGCAGTGCCAAGGCTGGCTCCAGGCCACGGACTGGAGCTGACCGGCTCCCACAGAGACATCTGGGAGTTGAGGACCCCAGGCTGTGTGTCCACCCTGGAGGGAAACCAAGGGGCCTCAGAGAGGAGAGGGAGCTTCCCTGCTTAGCCTCTTGGGCCTGCCCCTGCCCAGGCCAGAAAGCCTGTTCCTGGGAATGGTGCCAAATGTACCACTGAGCCCCTCCCTGAGGACGCAGGAGAGGCGTGGCCCGTTTCTGACACGTCATCCCTTCCCAGTAGGAGGGGAGCTTGCAAAGGCCACCTGAGTGTAGAACCACACACCCTGCCGCCCTGGAGCACAGTCGGACTATCTGTTCACAGCCAGCAGGTCCAAGGGAAGCCCAGTGGAGCTTCCCGAGTCAACAAAGCCTGGGCTTCAGGCTGAGCCACCCAGACCCAGGAGGAGAGGACAGAGCCCCTCCCTGGCATCTGGCTCCAGGACATTCATCTCAACTCCCCCTTGGCACCCACCCACCCACACCACCAGGACAGAAAATGCCAGAAGGAATCCCACGCATCTTGCATGGCCTCACATCCTCCCTACCAGCCTGAGACCCCAGGAAGCGGAGGCAGGCACAAAGAAAGCCCCCAAGACCTGTGGTGCCACGCACCTTCTCCTCCTTGCTGACGGAGCTGTGGCGGGCCACTCTCTCCATGCGCCCGACATAGACAGCACAGTCCTTCTCAATCTCCTTCAGCTCCTCCAGGGAGAAAATCACTGAGATCCGGGGGACTGGGACGTCGGACCAACAGAGGTAATGCTGCCAAAGGAGATGCAGGCACAGCCACCGGCACTCAGCCCTGGCCTCAGATGCAGCCCCAGCCCCTCCCGTCTCCACGCAGGAGCCCCTCCTCACCCGGGGACAGCAGAGCTTCAGCAGGTTGATGGTCTTCCCGCAGACGTACACGTCATGGGCAATGTGCTTCAGAAACACGGGAACACAGTCCTCCACCTCTTTGGAGATGAGCACGTAGCCATGGGTCCAGTATGACTTATCTACGGTGGGGGGAACACCAGTGTGGCTGGCATGGCTGTGGCCCTGAACCCAGGCCCACAGGCACGGAGCCCCGCCCCGCAGCCAGCTGCCACCTACCTCGGAAGCTGAGGTACTCCTGGTTCACCTGAATCATGAACTCGCCATAAGTGTCTCTGAACACCCCGCTGTACACCCAGTCGTGGATGAAGCTGCAGTGGGAGAGCAGCAGGGGTGGGTGTGGTCAGTGGAGAGGTGGGTGGGGCCAGCAGTGAGGAGCGGGGGCACGGCTGTCCATGGAGGCAGGGGTGGGGCATGCTATCCATGAGGATTTGGGGTAGGGGTGGGGGGTTCCTGCCCAGTCCCCTTCCTGTGTGAGCCCCACATTCAACAGGTTTCTGACAAGGGGCTGCTCTCAGATGTCTGCCTGGTGGGAATGTGTGCCAGCCCAGCCCCACCAGCCGCTGCCCACCGCGTGTAGGGCTCGCAGCTGGTCTTCAGCAGGGACAGCAGCACGGGGTAGTGTTCATTGCTGCAGTTGTGCAGCGCCTCCTGGTAGAGGTAGGACAGCAGCTTCACGCCCTGCAGATGGCAAGGGGGGACAGCTCAGTGAGGTGCACCCCTGCCGGCAGCAGCCCCCCAAGGACACACTCAGCACCCCCTTTCCAGGAGCCCACCAGGCCGGCACGCTCAACAGGGACGCAGGACTCACGGTGGGAAACTCGGCCCTGGGCCCTCCTCCGCAGGTGCCTGGGAGTGCAGCACCAACACCACAGAGCTCGGCCAGATACCTAGACCCAGAGGCAGGATCAGACCAGGTGACTGGGCTCAGGGTCCCCAGGCCTGGATCAGACTGAGCAAAATCTCCACAAATCTTCATGCTCCCTGGAGCAACTGACTTTAGATGTTTGCCTTAAAAACCAGATGCACCCCAACGGCCCTGCAGGACTCATGCCCAGCCCTGTGCCCCTGTGCTGTCCACACAGACCCCACTGAAGCACCCACACCAAACAGGCACCTCCCTCCCAGGCACTGGCCAACACCCAAATCACCCTGACCCTCCCACTTCCTCACCCCACATGGGGGCTGCACCTGACAGCCCCTCTCATCCACACAGTGGCACCAAGCATCTGCCACAACCCACACCCTTCACAGCCCACTCCCACCCCCACCCCCACCCCCACAGTGTCTGGCGCTGTCTCAGCCCTTGGGTCTCCTCTGGGCTGCCACACTCTGCTCCTCTGCTTGGAAGGTCATCCCTCCAGCTCCCACCCCCAATCCTCACTCTTCCTTCTCTGGCGGCACTTGCCAGTGGCCCCCCAGCCTGGTTCCTCACTAACCAGCTTCCTCACTAACTGTGCCAGATGCCACAGCCCCAGGGACCCTGTGTACTGATTAGGCAGGAGCCACCAGGCCTGGAGGGCCTGGATGGACCAGCTGTCGTGGGCCCATGGCAGACACACCTGCTCGGCACCTGGCACCTGAATTTAGCCAGGCAAGGACTGTCCAGTCGCCTGCTGAGGGCTCTTCTCACAGGCTCTCCTTGCCGGGGAGCAGGGCAAACCCCCCCGCTGCCCAGCAAGCCCCACACCTCACCCACAAAGCCCCCTGCTCAGCCGCCATGCTGAGGCTCACCTGAGCTGCCGGCCCAGCTTCTTGAAGAGAAAACCAATGGTGAGGAGGCTCAGGGTGGGCGGAGTGGCGAGGACGCAGGCCCGGTAATACTGCAGGTATCTCCTCAGGCCACTGGTGAAGGCCTGTAGGCAAGAGGGCTGGGAGGAGGGCAGCCAGGAACGTGGACACAGCCTGTGCCCAGGGCCTGAGGGCACCAGTGCTGGGCACAGCACTTTGCTCCCCACCTCAGCTCTGGGCTTCATTTCCGAGCAATGGGACTCTGCGAGCCACGTCCAGCCACCAGGCCAGGTAGACATTTGGACCTCCACAAGCCATGGCCCACCACCAATCCCTCCTCTCATCTGAGCCCAGCTGCCCAGGGACGTGGCTTCTGGGATTTGGGGGTGAGGGTGGAAAGGGCGGCTGCGCTCTATGCACAGACACCAGCGCTGTGAGGGCTTCGGCTGCTCAGACCACAGTGGTCTCGGTGGCACCAGCATCCTGGGTAACGCCACGGCAGCAGGCTCTGAAGTTCATGCCAACCCTGGACCAATCTCAGTCTACCCACCCCAGGAGCCACGTGGCCTGGCCACGCCTGCCACACAAGTGAGAACCACAGTCCGACCCTTCTCAGTGTCCACTGCTCCGACCCCTCCTCCACGACCTCCAGCCCTCAAGAACCCCAGGGCTGCTCGTCTGCCCAGAAGCTGTCCCCACCCCATGCAGCTCCCACCACGCCGACCTCCCGAGCCCGTCTAAAACCTGACCACACTGCATCACCCCACCCTCAGCCCCCGCTGCGGCACCAACAGTCGAAGGTGCCAGCGCTGCACGGCTCCTCCTGAGGGCTCTCTGCCCAGCTTCCCCAATACCCTCCTCTCCACTCCCCCGACGTCCCGTCATCTGCCTGCCTGTCCTCTCCCATTCAAGGTGCATCCCCGTCCCCTGGGCCTCTACCCAGCACATGAGCCAGCTTCAAGACTCACAAACAGCAGCTTCCAGAGCCAGGCTTGGCTCAGAACACCTAGCAGCGTAAATTCACCCAACGCGAGAGTCCTGCCCTGTCACTCATCCACAATGCGGATGACTGCTCCCACCAAAGTACAGGCAGCAAGAGCCCCATTCACTGCCTTGCCTGCCCTGTACACCCCGAATGCTGGCCAGGCTGGCCTCCCACCAACCCAGGGCCCACACACATCTGCCCCAGGTTTCCAGTGAGGGAAAATGTCATCACTGACCCGTCCCTGAAGAGTCACTGTCGGGTTTCAAATGTTAGCAAGGAAATAAAAGGTTTAGACTCTGTGGTCCCACAGAAGGACCTCTAAGATTCTCTTTTCCAGAACGTGTGCACCGTTCTCTCAAAGGTTCGTGACAACCGTGAGGCAGAGACGATACCTGGAACACAAGGCCCTTGCTGTACGAGGAGTCCAGGACGGGCTGCAGGGAGAAGTGGGTCAGGCGCATGTAGCAGGTCCCATACTCGGCCACCTCCGAGAGAAGGTTGCTGATGCTCTCGGGAGACGCTCCTGATACATGGACGCCCTGCTTCACCACAAAGGCCTGGGCCTGCTGCACAGGGACAGAGGACACAGGTCGCAGAGGCCAGGCACCCAGATGTCCAGTAAGGTGCCACCTCCCTCCACCGCTGCACCCAACCCCACACCACCTAGAGTGCCCACAGGACCCAAAAGCAAATGCTCAAAAGGCATACCCAGAACTCCTGCACCAAGGAATAAAAACATACAAACCAAAACAAGGTAGAAATTTTCACTGACCATACTGAAAAATACATGTTTAAAATGCTAAGCATAGAAAAAAAGAGAGCACCTTCACAGAACACAAGTACTCAGACAGCCTCCTGGGCAGAAGATATAACACCCGTTTGCCACAAGACCTGCTCATTCGACTCTCAGGGATGAATTAAAGGAAATCATGGAAGATGTACACACAGACTCATCAGAGCACATTCTCCACAGCATGTTTATAACCAGAGAGTGGAAACCCCCAACAGAGGGCTCACCACAACCAAAACATATGGGATGCAGCGAACGCTCCGCCAGGAGGAAAAGTTACCACTGCAAACACCTGCATTACTAACGAACAAGATACCAAACCCACAGCAGCCCTGTGCATACTCTGAAGAGATTTTAAAAAGAGATTAGGCCAAGTGCAGTGGCTCTCGGCTGTAATCCCAGCACTTTGGGAGGCTGAGGCAGGAGAATACTTGAGCCCAGGAGCCTAAGACAAGCCTGGGCAACACAGCGAGACCCTCATCCCTATAAAAACTACAAATTAGCCAGGCATGGTGGCTCACGCCTATAATCCCTTGGGGAGCCAAGGCAGACAGATCACTTCAGGTCAGGAGTCCATAGCCAACCTGGCCAACATGGCAAAGCCCCATCTCTACTAAAAATACAAAAATTAACCAGGCGAGGTGGTGTGTGCCTGTAGTCCCAGCTACTCTAGAAGCTGAGGTATGAGAAACACTTGAACACGAGAGGCAGGGTTGCAGTGAGCTGAGACTGTGCCTTCCCACTCCAGCCTGGGCTACAGAGGGAGATTCCATCTCAAAAAAAGAAAATTTTTTTAACTAAAAAAATAGCCAGCCATGATGGTGCATGCCTGTTGCTCTCAGCTACTCAGGAGGCTGAGGCAGGAGGATCAATTTGAGCCTAGGAGGTCGAGGTTGCAGTGAGTCATGTTCAAACCACTGCACTCGAGCCTGGGTGATCTTGCCTCCAAAAAAAAAAAAAAGAGCAGTTAGGCCAGGCATGATGACTCACACCTGTAATCCCAGCACTGTGGGAGGCCAAGGCAAGTGAATCACTTGAGATCGGGAGTTGGAGACCAGCCTGACCAACATGGTGAAACCCCATCTCTCCTATAAACAAAAATTAGCCATGCATGGCGGCGTGCGCTTGTAATCCTAACTACTCAGGAGGCTGAGGCAGGAGAATCAC